AAGAAAGAAAGAAAGAAAGAAAGAAAGAAAGAAAGAAAGAAAGAAAGGGGAGGAGGAGGAGGAGGAGGAGGTGGTGGTGGTGGTGGTGGTGGTGGTAGTGCTTTGGACAACCTTCTCCACTGGGGCCAGGTACTAAGCATAATTCTCTAAGGCACATCCCAGAGCTTAAAGTGCAGGGGTCTGCCAAGTAATTCTCCAAGCTAACAGTAGGTAAGTTGACAGATAAGCAGTACCAGGCTGTTCCCCACCCTGAACCTCATCTCCCCCACATTACTCTCTGAAAATAATAAGAGCTGCTCCGCTTTATGAGAGGCTCTCACAGATCCTCCTGCCCAGGATATATAGGTTCAGACAGACACAATGGATCAGAGTGGATCTCGTGTGCTCCCAAAACATCTAATACTTTAGTTGCTCCAGAGTGATACGGTGGCCCAGAAGGCAGCAGATTGCCCATGTTGCTAGGTCCCCAAACTAGCACCCTTCTTTCAGGCCAGGATACCAGTTCCCTGGACTCTTGGTGATTTACAGGACCTGAGCAGTAAGAAGAGGCCATCTACTTTTATGCCACTGGGAATAGACAGGACAGTGATATGGTATGATACTACAGCCACAGGCTCCTCCAGAATGAGGATCTGGAGGGGATGGCCAGCCAAACGGAAGGGGTAGATTGCTGTGACCAAGGGGCTCTACTTAGTGCTTGCCTGAGACAGAGTCTGTGGGCTTTAGCCCCTCCCTAAACGTTTCAAAGGCTCAGGGATATGGCAGCTTCAAGAACCAAAAACTAGTGTCCATTGGAGCATGACCCTGCCCAGAAGACAGAGGAATCTCCAACTGCCCTTGCTGGCCCAGGAGATACATTGTATGGAAACAGGCCATCTATCTATGGTGTTCTGCCTTCTCTCAGACCAGCCTTGCTAATGTGCTAGGCACAAAGCCCGTGGCCCATGGGAAAGGGACCTTCTCGGCCAAACCCATAGCTAGCAGGAAAGAGCGCTACCCAAGGCTGGTAGAACCCACTATTTTGCTTCTCCAGCTGGTAGTGTGTGGCCAGCTGGCATCTGGCCCAGCTCTGCCTCAGGCAGAGGCTACCAGCGAACAACGGATCGATTCTTTACTTCTGGGTTACAGAACTCAGGCCAGGGGAGGAGGACAAGAAGACTACCTGTCAAACAAAAGGCAAGGACAGCCAGAAGCCAGGCCAGTGGGACCTTTGGTAGGAAGGGCTCCAGTCCAAGGTTCCCTCAAGTGCACCCCTTGTCATCCCAGGAATCAATGAAAATCAAGAGGAGGACCCATCTGGCTGCCCCAGGATTTCTAGAGTCGGGGACAAATCTTCCCATCTAAGTTAAATGGGTGTTAAATATTCCGTAAGTCACCTAGAATGTGTCCTGACTCTCTGCACCCTCTCCCACTGTCCCAAACACCCCAGGGCCAAAAACCAAAAATGTAGCTCTGACAACTACCCTGCCTGTAAACTAAGGAGGTGTCTGACAGCCACACACTCTCTAAAGAGGAGTCCAACTCCCAGGGCCACTGTACCAAGAAACACACTTATAAACCTGCTGGATGAGAGCCAATAGGGAAAGACTCCTACAGTCCTGTAGATAACATCAGGATTCAGGGAGGCCAACTGTGGGCTGACCTACAGGCACCAGGCCAGACCACCCAGCACAAGCCTCACCCAAATGTTGACTAAGTCTTGGAGCCTTCTCTTATGTACAACCCTGCCAAGTGCTGTTCTAGAAACCTTACAGCTAGCCTTTAACTGGTCAGGTAATAGCCTCCCATCATGAGGAATTGAGGCATGTTGTGCTGGGAATTAGCCCCTACCCATAAAAAGCAAGCCCACCATTATAGTTCCACTCCACTGCAGAAACAATATGCCCAGGTATTAAAAACAACCCACCCTGCTTCCCGCCAAACCACAAAAGAATAGCTGCAACCTCAGGTAGCTGTGTGTGCTTGCCTGTGTCCCAACCCTCTAAGTGTGCCCAGCCTTCATCCAGTAGAACAGTTGTGGTTGCTGTTCCAATAAAGCAGTCTTGGTCTGCTTCAATCAGCCTATGTCTCTGCCTCATTTTCCTCAGGTAGGAAGACATGCATGAGTGTAAGGCCATGGCCACCCAACGCCCTCTTCAGCTCTGAGTCTATGCAGGACATGCCCCAGTCTGTCCTCAGACCCGAGGCAGGAAGGTGCAGAAATGTCAAGGGGCCCATTTCAGGAGCAGGCCCTGGCCCTAATCAGTGATAAAGGGCCATGCTGAGGAAAAAGAGTTACCTCAGGTCACTTGTACATTTTTTTAAGAAAAGATGGCACCAGGCTCTTAGGTTGGATACTTCACCATGAAGCCCAACTGGGGTGCAAGTTGGTGACTTCACAACAGCAGTCCCACTTTAGATGTGCTTGCTCTCTGTTCCCATGATCCTCTAGGGCGAGGTGTTCTCTTCTAAGTCACCTACAAACCCAAGCTTTGGAACTCCAGATGGTCAGCAATGGGAAGTTGCGACCAAGTACTCGGGTCAAAAGCAGGGACCTTCTGCACCCCCCGTGTCCAGGGGCAGGAGCTGGGACAGGGTGGCCAGCACTGGGTAGGTGTGCTAGGCCCACAGAACACAACCCCAACCAGGAAGGTCTCCATGTCTGCAACCATACAATGCACTGGATCCTGACCATCTTCATGCATTTGTCCTTCTATTTCTGTGAAGCATGCTGCTCTGGAAGACCTTGTAGCCCCCTGTAGTCCTGGGCAGGCCCCGCCCATGCCCCAACTATGTTCCCTAGGACTGAGACCTTCAGGCCATACTTTCATGTCACTGCGAAGCTGCAGGCCCTGCCTGTGCTCCTCCCACCATCCCAGTTATTTCACTAAGTCTCATATTGCAACAGCTTAGACACCTGTAGGTGGAATCCTAAACTAATCCAAACACAACAGCTCCTCTAGCTCGCACACTGGAGACTTCCTGTCTGCAGTGGAATCAGAGTAGCCAGCCTTTGTGGTTACCTGTATTTTTGCCTTTTAATACAGGATCTCACTATGGAACCTGGGTGGCTTGGAACTCTCTAACTCAGAGATCAGCCTGCATCTGCCTCCTGAATGCTGGGTTGCAATCAAGCGCTGCCACACCCAGCTCTCTCCCATAGGGGTTTTGTCATCTTTTGACTATAGGCTTACTCTTCTACCTGTGTTGAGGTGAGTCTGCAGGCATTAAGTCAAAGGCCGTGTCAGAGCCCTGAGGTTTCCAGAGGAATCTCACTGGTCAGTCAGCAGACTCAGTAGCAAGTTCAAGTTCATTTTTCCATTCGTTTCTAACTAGTTCATCTGGGTGGGTGAAACACCCACCTTGTCTTAGGGAGCATCAGTCATTGCTAACACAACTTTGGGTAGCTTGTTTTCCAGCTATGCACTGCTACCATACTGTATTTCACTGACTCTTAAATGCCACTAACTTCAATGTACTACCTTTAAGGCTCAAAAGAAAAGAGTGGGTCTAAGAAGTGACCCTTCCCTAGAGATGGATGAATCAAAGGGAGCACTGCATAGCTAGTCAAGAGAAAACCATAGGCCCTCTGCCTGCCCCTCTCCCTGTGAGCTCCAGAGAAGAATGCCCAGCCAGAGCAAGAGTGAGGTTGGCACTGGCAAGAAGGGCTTGACACATATCTGCTTTGGGACCCCACATTCACTGTACCTATTTGTGCCATGCCACCTACCAGGCAGGGTGGCTACAACCTCTTGCTCCTCAAACACCGGCCACTCCCACCACATTCGCTTCCCAACCAGCATGTGAGGACGTATTGGGGTCGAGAGAGCACTCAGTGTGTGGAGGGATGTATTGAGCCGCAACTTTGTGTGAATTCACAATCAACGTCATGCAAATAATTTTCTAGCAGCATCAGCAGGTTGTAATTCAGAATTTTTCTGAAAACTGGTGACAGCAAATAATAATAATAAGGTAAGTGTGTTCAGCTTCCCAGACTGCCAGGACCCCACGTCATGGGACTGGCCAAGTCCTAGAGGGCAGCATGTAGACCATCCGATAGGCCTGTAACTGAGAGTTGCCTCTATCACTTCGGTTGGGGGGACTGTCTCATAACCAGAAAGGTCAAACTCTGCAGGTAATCGCAGCCAACCACGCCTCCTTACCAACCCAGACAGGTCTTCAACAACCAAGTAATCTGGGTGTGGTGCTACCTGACTAAATCCTAGCACTCAGGAGGAAGAGTTGAAGGTAGAGGCCATAGGAACACTGTGAGTTAAAAGTCAATCTGGTCTACATATTAAGTTCCAGGATAGCCAGGGCTATGTAGAAAGACCCTGTCTGAAAAAAACCACACAAACAAAAATGTAAATCAAAACAAACAAACAAAAACAAAACAAGGGAATGCTCTGGTCAGGTGGACCATTGTTACCAATCCAAGACCTGCTTGGTATGACAGCAGATTCCATTCAGCCCCATGTGAATGACTTGTGGTGCTCTGGGTCGTCATGGTAGCTGATCTGGACAACTCTGCTGCAGCCCTCACAGGGTATGAACCACACGGCTAACCATCTAGTGACAAGACCACATGGCACTCTTCCCAGAGCTGCAACAAAGCAGGTCTCCACAGGTCACTGCAGATCGGTCAGGGCTTAGCCTGTCTGGAAGTAGGGCGACTGCCCACCCACTTCCTCTGCCCACAAGGAGCTGGCAAGAGACCAGAGAAGGGGCAGACAGCTTGATCTGCTCTGCTCACCCACAGAAAGGCAGGCGAGCCCAGAGGGTGCTCAGAGCTGACTCCTTGCTGGCCAACAGACCAGTAACCTGGTCTACAGCAGGTGCCACCAGCTGGGAGGCCTCCAGGCCCACCAACCCTGCATGCCCAAGATCCTGGCATCTTGCAGCAACAAGTTGAAAACCTCCAGTTAGGCCTGAGCAGGCAGAGTCTTATAGGGGTTCAGGATGCCTTTGGGGTCCAGCAGGGCCTTGAGCTGTTGCATAAGATCCACAGCCACAGGTGGCTTGCTATAGCCCAGTACGTTTTTCTTCTTGAAGCCTAGGCCGTGCTCAGCACTGACGCTGCCCCGCTGTTCCGCTGTCCAGGCATACACATAGGGCTCCAAGGCGCCAAGCAAATCCTGGCTAAAGGCCTCTGCTGTCACATTCAGGTGAAGGTTGCCATCCCCTGAGGAACAAGGGAACAGTTAGGCTGGCAGAAATCTGTCCAAAGAGTCCTCAGATTTCCAATACCCCCTGAGATGTAACCCCCCCCCCCAAACCAGGTGACTGTACCCTGCCCATCCTGGTTCTGAACCACAACCCTTGGCCCATTCCTTCAACCCTCCATGACTATGGATGGCAGCTGCTGAGCCTTATCTTACAGTATTTTAGCTCAGAGTCAGCTGGGAAACAGCGGGAAGTCCACAGCTGCACTGCTCGCCCCATCCCAGCCCATAGGTCCCCTAAACTGAAGGTGTCAGAGACTGGGAGGGATAAAGAAGTCACTCCTGCCAATTAATACCATGTGACCTAAAGCACCACTTTTCTACTCTCCTACAAATGACTAGAAACTGGCTTCAAAACCCTGTGGTCTAAAGAAACAGGCCCCATTCCTGCATAGCTAACAGACTTCTCAACTAGCACTTAGAATAAATGAAGCAAGGGTAGAGTATGGCAGTGCACATCTTTCATGCAAGCACTCAGGGGCACTGGAAGGTGGAGCTCCGGGAGTTTAAGGTCAGCCTAGTCTACATAGCGAATTCCAGGCCAGCCAAAGCTACAGTGAGACCTTGTCTCAAAAACATAAACAGAGGGCTGGAGAGATGGCTCAAAGGTTAAGAACACTCGCTGTTCTTCCAAAGGTCCTGAGTTCAATTCCCAGCACTCACATGGTGGCTCATCTATAGTAAGATCTGGTATATAGGCAGAATGTTATATAAATAATAAATAAACCTTAAAAAAAAACAGAGAGAAAGAGAGAGAGAGCACAATGATACCTTCTCAGTCCAAAAACTTGTACCCTTTTGCTGAGACAAGCCACAGAACTCAACTGACAAGCTCAGCTATGGAGGTCACTGTAGAGATACCAATTTGAGAAAATCTCTCTTACATTCTAAAAAACTGGACCTTTTACAGGACCTAACAGCCAAGTTAATATAATACTACATAACTGACCTGATATCCTGCTATATACTCAAGTCTGTTTGTTTAACCCACTTTTAAGAAACAGCATAACACTCCAACCAAGCCATACATGGAGATAACCTAGAACCCTTGCACAGACGTAGCCTATGGCAGCTCAGACTACAAGTGGGTTCCCTAGTAAGGGGAACAGGGGCTGTCTCTGACATGAACTCAGTGGCTGGCTCTTTGATCATCTTTCCCTGAAGGGGGAGCAGCCCTCCCATGCCACAGAGGAAGACAATGCAGCCAGTCCTGATGAGACCGGATAGGCTAGGGTCAGATGGAAGGGTAGAAGGTCCTCCCCTATCAGTAGACTGGGGGAAGGGCATGGGAGAAGAGAGGGTAGGATTGGGAGGGGATGAAGGAGAGGGCTACAGCTGGGACACAAAGTGAATAAATTGTAATAAATAAATAATTTTTTCTTCCCAATATGACAACAATGTACTTTAGTGCTTCCAAGGCTGTCTTTGATGTGCTTAACTCCGCTCACCACAGTGGAACTGTGCAGCTCACAGGGGCATATGACAGGCTGCTCACCCAAGTGACCATATCCCACTACATGCTTGGCACAAGGGCCAAGGCGGTTCCGAACATCCATCACGAGGTCATAGAGACGCTCCACGGGGAGGGATATGTCATACTTGAACACATAGCCGTCACGACTGAGAGCCTCTGTGATCCTCTCCCGAAGGGCCCACAATGTCTACAACAGCAAAAGGACACAGTCAGCAAAAAGAGCACACCACAACTGGGCTCCTGGGCATGGCTCACTGAAACAATCTTCACAGAGGAGAGGTAGACAGAGAAGCCGGATGTACAAAGGCCTGGGTTGCTAGAGGGACTAACGTTGTGACAGTGTTGTGACAGAGACTTTAAAAAGACAGACTAGAGAGCAGTGGCTGGTGGCATATGCCTTTTAATCCCAGCACATGGGAGGCAGGGGCAGGAGGATTTTTACGAGTTCAAGGCCAGCCTGGTCTACAGAAGGAGTTCCAGGACAGCCAAGGCTACAAAAAGAAACCCTATCTCGAAAAACAAACAAACAAAGTCACATTTTCTCTCACATGTGGAATCTATATTTAACTGTATGTATATATACATGTAGCATGAAAACATGGGGCAAGGAAGGGGACCATGGGAAGAAAGAAGCAAGCACTGAGGGTGGTTACCAGGGAAGAAGAAATGAGTAAGACACACATGTATGTCTTACAGTGTCACAACAAAGACCATCAGGACCCTTCATAAAAGCAAGGGCAGAGGCCGGAGAGGGGATACAGTGGTTAAGAGCACTTGCTTTGACTTCTGTTCAAGCAGTCATGGTCTACAGGTTCCTGGGGATCTAGCGCCCTCTGCTGGCCTCTACAGGCATACGCTGCGCATGCAGTTCACACATAAAGCAGGCAAAACATCTCCTCGGAAAATAAAAATGAGTAACTCTTAGAAAAGAAACCAGCAAGGGCAGAGTGGAAATAATCTTACCTTTCCAAGACTCTGGTTTGTTCCTGGTGTTACCCGAGCTAATAACCACCTGATATTAAACTCAGAGTAGAGGATGGAGGGCAAGTTCAAGGCCAGTTGAGGCTATATGAGAACCTGTCTCACTTAAAAAACAAAAAACAAACAAACAAAAAAATCTGGCTGGTCGGTGGTGGCTCATGCCTTTAATCCCAGCACTCATGAGGCAGAGGCAAATGATCTCCTGTCTGAGGCCAGCCTGGTCTACTTAGTTAGTTCTAGGACATTTAGGACCACACAGAGAAACCTTGTTTCAAAAAACAAATAAGGAATCTAAAAGCCAACCAACTAACAAAACAACCCTAACTATAAAGAAAAAAAGCCTTAATAAATAGAATAGACTATATAATCGGTTAACTCTAGAGGTCACAGCTCAAGGAATCAGTGTTTTTCACACTCTACAGGCTCCTTTTTTTTTTTTTTTTTTTTCTCTCTCCAAGGACCCTGGCTGCTCCCTGCAGCCTCTCCTCTGCCCTCTGCTGGCAGATCATCATACTGCAGACAGCAGGACCAGGGCTATACACCACAAAAATAAACTGCCAGAAACACCTCTTGTTCCTTTGTCCCCCAAGAGCCCAGATGGCTTCCCAGCAACATAGTCAAGGCCCATTCCTCAGACTCCATCTTCCCCTGGATGTGTTGGGCCTTCAGGCATGCTTTCCACAGCCCTATCCTGCCTCTCTACACTCTAGACAAGACTGGAAAGCTGTAGTCAACTTATAGTCAGGACATGGTCAGCCATGTAGGTCTATTCACCATGCAGCCTGGGGGCAGAGAGATGTGTGGGGATGATTTTTGTTTTTCATGCTTAAAAACAAAAACAAAAAACCAAAACATGGTACTCTCTTTATTGGAAAGATATAAGCAATAGTTATATTAATAAGAGAAATATATTATTGTTTGCAGCAGTGCTTGTTACAAGTAGTTTTCTGCTTTATGTGAAGGCGTGCTGTGTGCTGCCTGTAACCACTTACCATTTTCCATATCTGAGACAGTGTACAATGCATTTCTTTTCTTTTCTTTTCTTTTTTTTTTTGGTACAATGCATTTCTACGTTACTACATGTTAGTGATTAATCATGGAGAGCTGAAGAAACTGCCAATCTGAGTAATAATTCTTTCACATTTTAGGTCTTTTTCCTGAACATGATTATTTATACTGTAGAAATCTGCAAGAACAGCCATCTGAGTTCAAATCTCTAATATTCATGTTAAAAATGCATGTGGTAACATAAGCCTGCAACCCCAAAGCTTGGAGGCAAAGACAGGAGAATCCCAAGGCTTCACTGCCATGCACCCTAATCCACTGATTAGCACGAACCTTCAGAGTCAGTGAGGATCAATCAAATCATTCTTTCCTCTCTCTCTGTTCTGCCTTCTTTCTTTCCCTTCCTCCCCAAACCTGTGTGTATGTTTGTGTAGTTGGAAAGTGATATTAGTGAAAATGATCTAGGTACCAAGAATACATTTTCACCCCAAAGAGGTTTTCTATCTATACTATGAACCCTGTGATATCTCGGCCACACACTCCATCACTGCTGGACAGATTAGGCCCTAGCTATGTGAACAGGAGGGCCTGAAGGCGGAGAGCAGGGTTACAGTACCTGGACTTTCCTCTGGTCGCTGGCCATAGTGCCATCGCTCACCAGGCCGGAGTTCAGCACATGGTCCAGGACGCTGGTCAGCTTCTCGGCATCATGCTCTGCACTGGAGCCCGAGGTCTCCACCAGGACATAGAATGGACTCTCTGAAAGGAATCAGAAGCGGTGTAAGCTACAGTCCCACCCCCAGCATACAGAGTTAGAACCACTTTACTCTAGGTCATGAGGCAAACATAGCTTTTGCCAGGTGCTTGGGGTGGCCTGTGAAACAGGAAGCCCTCAGGCATGCTGAATTTCACATGGCTTAAATGTAAGTTTTCTGCTGACAGAGAAAATTGACCAAAGATGACCCTCTGCATGAAGCCCCACCCTGCTCACTTTCAGCCTCATGGCTGGGTCCAGTATGGTACCTCCCAAGAGCCTGATGTGGAAAGGGGTTGTCATAGCAAGGCAACTACCAGCTCTAAGAGCTGGCTTGTCTACTCTTAAGAAACCCCAGAACCCCAGGGAAAAGCCACTTGTTGGTGGATGATTGCCTTGGACATGCCTACTTACATGCATGCAAAAGGCCGTAATTTCCACCCTGAGAACTTACTGTTTAAACTCTGAAAAAATTAAATGTGCATCATTAACTTGCTGAGGGGCACTGCCCCGTCCCTTCACAACATTAAGACTTCTTCCAGAACAGTGATACAAGCTCATCCTACTACAGACCAAATACAAGTGTTAAAGACAGCAGAGCTTTCCTAAACACAATGAGCCATGGCCTCACAGTGCCCATTGCCCACCCACCCTCCTGAGACATTCTACTGGCAGCACCTCTGAGCCATCCAACATGTCTCACAATGTCACCCAACTGCACAGGGGCAGGTACCTTGTACTGGGCTGGTCAGGTGGAGGTGCTGTCCAACCAACTGCATGCATTCCGAATCCATGAACTCAAACGCAGACAGGATCTCGCCCAGCATCCCCTTGCAGGTACTGAAGGTCTTCAGAACCTCAGTGAACCCAGGGCAGCCTGCAAAGGGACACAGTGCATCAGGCACCCAGAGTAAAGGACAGCAGGACCCAGGGCCCCACCCATCGCCTCACCAGGTCACCCCTTCTCAGCAGCAATATCAACCCAACTCACATAGACAAGGGGTGACTGTGAAAGGACTCTGTGCTACAAGAAGCACTCCACAGGTCTGCCCATAAGTACATTTCAAGGTCTCTAGATCTGACACTATGCCTAATAACTGCCAAAGAGCACTCCGAATGACAAAAGGAACCAGGGGGCCAGGCCTTCAGGTTATCCCACTCATCCGTTGGCACTAAGGTCTAAGTTGGTCTCAGAAATTCATCATTCATCTATGGACACCTGAGACCTCTGCAATGCTACAGGGCTCACGAGCCACAGCACAGCCCCAGGGTAGCTGTCCCCCCAAGTATGGAAGCAGAAAGAAACTAAAGAACGTATCCACAGGTAGATGATCCAGAGCCCTATGGTTGGAGAGGACATTCCTGGACGACCCAGCAAAAGCAGCACAACCCCCTCCAAGAGGAAACCGCCCTTACCCAAGGCCTCTAGGAACCAAACAAGCAATTCAGAAACAAGGCTCTGGGTATGACCCAAGATAGCTCAGAACAGAGACAAGACACCATGAGAAACTAGGACCTCTACTACAAAAAAAAAAAAAAAAAAAAAAAAAAAAATGGTCTTGGCTGTATTTATTGGGAACAAGAGACTAAAAAAAGTCTGGTGCAGAAAGATAAAGAGTTAAAGAAATGGCCATAAACAGTATGACAGAGACTTTAAAAAGACAGTTTACCTGGGGCAGGGAGTGATGGCACACACCTTTAATCCCAGCACTCCGGAGGCAGAGGTAGGCAGATCTCCCTAAGTTTGAGGCCTGCCTGGCCTACAGAGTGAGTGCCAGGACAGCTAGGGCACAGAGAAATCTTGTCAAAAAAAAGAAAGAAAGAAAAAAGAAGTTAAGATCACTGGCTACTCTTCCAATGGTTTGGTTCTAGCACCCCAGAACCCACATGGTGGCTCACAACTTTCTGTAACCCTAATTCTGAAAAATCTGACTCTTTCTTTAAGGCTTCATAGGCATTGCATACACAATTGTACACAGACACACACGCAGGCATCAGACATATATGGAGGCATAACAACATGCACGTAGGTAAAACTATATACAAATATAAAAAGAAAAGAAAAAAAGGAAAAGCCAGGCATGGTGGGGAATTGCTGCACCGAGGAAATGAAGACAGGTGAATCCCTGGGGCTCGCTGGCTGGCCAGCTTAGGCTAATCAATGATTACCAGAATAATGAAAAACCCTGTCTCAAAAAACAGAGTGGAAGAATACCCAAGGTTGGCCACTGGCCTCCACAAGCATGTTCATAAGTGTGTACCCACACACACACTAATATGCACACATATCCACACAATATAAACAGAAAAGGACACAATAAGACCAAGTAGCCAGGAAGAGACCGTAGGACCTCCGGCCTTCTCTGGTGGAATCTGGTGAGTCAAGCCTGCCTCTCTCCCTCCAGAACTTACTTAAGTGAATGAGTCAGCTGCGGACAGAAAGAGGCCAGATAACCACCCCAAAGAAGGTAAAAGAGAAGAACATGAGCCATAGACATAGCCAACTTCAGCAGGGTAGAAAAGGAAGTTGAATGGTGGAAGGGTCCTATGAGTGGGGAGGCTGCAGCCAACTGTGGAGCTAGGGAGAGGGAGCACAACACATCAGAGCAATCACCACCATGCCATCGCCTCTCTCAGAATCATAGGACCTACTTCTTAAACCCAAGCACAGTGGGACAGAAAAGAAAAGAATCTTGATTCTGTGAGAGTGAAGTGTGTTCTCACCAGAAACAGGTCATCACTTCTGAGTCAGGCTACACTCTGGATATCTGGAGGGCCAGGACAGAGATCTCCAGACAGGAAGGAGGCAGACAGGCAAGGAGCAATGGGACCCTCTCGTTCCACAGTCACACCAACATGCCCAGAGCAGCTGCCCACTCTCCACTTGTCGGCTCAGAAGCAGGGTGAGGGACCTACCGAGGAAAGCCACATTCACAGCCTTGGGCCTGGGTGGGCACAAGATGGACACGGCAGTGATGATTCCCAGGGTGCCCTCTGACCCGATGAACAGCTGCTTCAGGTCATAGCCTGTGTTGTCCTTCCTCAGGGAGGTCAGGCAGTTCAGGATGGTTCCATCAGCAAGTACCTGGCATAAGGAAAGAGACGGGCCTTCCTGCATCAGCCACCCTTCCCTTCTCTGGAAATGCTGACCCAACTCCAAACATGCCCAAAGAGTAGCCAGCCATAAACCCTCACCCACTCTACCCATCATACCAATTGATTCAGGATGAAGCCTGGGAGTGAATGGAACCTGGAGTGGACTGATGACCTTTCTCCTCAGCTGGAACAAGACTCCCCCAGCTGCATCTTAAGTCAAGAAGTTCCCTGTCTGGTTGGTGGAGGGGAACCCACCCAAGGTAAAGAATACACAGGGGACAAACTTGTGGAGGGCAGGGGACACAGCTGGAGGGAGGGGGACGCATAGCTGGGGCAAGTGAGGAACACGGCTAGGAAGAAGAGGGAACACAGATGGGGAGAAGCAGAAGCACAGCTGGGAAGGGCAGGGAACATATCTCGGAGAGGCAAGGAACCTCTAGAGCTGGGAGAAGCCAAAACATAGCTTGGGGGCAGGAAAAACACCTAAGGGGCTGGTGAAAGGGGACCATGAAGCACAGCTGGAAATAGAAGGAACACAGCTGTACGGACTGAACAGCAGAGAACAACCCTGCCTCGAGGTTCCCCCACATCTGAGGCCCTCAGTCATAAAGGCATTTGCTAGTTCCCATATTGCAATTCTACCTGAGACCTGTTGGCTAATACTTCAGGTCAAAGGCTTACTGAATTTCTAGGACAGTAAGTGCAATTATTACTATCACTACTGCTACTGCTACCTCCCTGAGGGAGGACAACACAGGCTATGGCCTGAAGCAGCTGTTCCTCAGGTCAGAGGGCACCCTGGGAATCATCACTGCCGTGTCCATCTTGTGCCCACCCAGGCCCAAGGCTGTGAATGTGGCTTTCCTCCGTAGGTCCCTCACCCTGCTTCTGAGCCGACTAGTGCAGAGTGGATGTAATTATTATTATTATTAATTATTATTACTATAATAACAATAATAATAGTAAATGGTAACGAACAGAAAACAGCCACTGGGACACTGTGACTTACTGGATAAAGCATGGTTTTATATTTGCCCTGGTTTGGGGGGTAAAAAGGACAGAGGCTCTGCCCTTAGAATCTACCAGTAGATGTGATGTTTGTCTTTATTGTCAGTAGAAAAAGAGGAGCTGGGGAGATGGCTTTATGGGATGAAAAAATGCTGCAAAAGCAGAGGACTCGGGTCCCCATTTCTAGCACCCATGTAAAAAGTTGGGTCTAGAGCTTATGAGATGGCTCAGAGCGTAAGCACACCAGCCACTAAGCCTGACAACTCAGTTCAATCCCTGTAATCCACATGGCAGAAATAGAGAAGTGACTCTCACAAGCTGTCGTCTGACCTCCACATATGTGCCAGCATGCATACACACACACACACACACACACACACACACACACACAATAAATATGGTGAGTACTGTGGCACATGTCTTTAATCCCAGCACTCAGGAGACTGAAGCAGGAGGATCTCTGTGGGTCTGAGGTCAGCCTGGTCTACACAGAGAGTTCCAGGCCAGCCAGGGTGACACAGTGAAACTTTGACTCATTTCAATAAAATGATAAATAAAGGGACAGGGTGTTGGACACGGCAATTTGTGCCTGTAATCCCAGCACTGGGAGGCAGAGGCAGGAGGATCACTAGCCAGTCAGTGAACTCCAAGTTGAATAAGAGACTTTATCTCTGAAAACAAGGTGAAGAATGGTAATAGACACTCAACATCTCTCTCTCTCTCTCTGTGTGTGTGAGAGAGAGAGAGAGAGAGAGAGAGAGAGAGACAGGGACAAGGACAGAGACAGAAACAGAGAGAGAACAGAAAGATGTTTAAACCACCATCACTATGGAAACACTGGGCCCATGGTGTCTATGTGGGTGTTTCTAGAAATATTTAACTGAGGCAGAAAAACCCACCTTGAATGTGGACAGCACAACAACCCCCAGCTTTAATTAAAATGCTTGAGCACCAGAATTCATCTCTTTCTTCTTCCTGTCACAATGTAAGCAGCTACCTCACATCCTTGCCACCATCCTTCCCCAGCCATTGTGGACTGTGTCCTCTCAAACTGTGAGTCAAAATAAACTCTTCCTCCCTTACTTTACTTCTGTCAGTTATTTTATCACATTGATGAGAAAAGTAGCTAATGGCAAGGGTTCAGGGGAGGGGAATTCAAGGGTCCTACAGATAAGCTAGCAGGGGTGTGACTCCATCCCAAGCTGGCCTTAGCTAACCTTCCTCATATTCCAATTCCTGAAAGTCTGGTATGAGTGTCACACCTGAGTAAAGTGTCTCCTGGTGGCTCCTTATGTGGACTCCACATGTTCCTGAGGCACCTAGAGCTAAGAACCATTACAATAGGGTCCCTAACGTGGAGCAGATATACACATGCCAATACAGCCCCACGTCCTGTACCGCTGTCATGACAACAGCCTCAGACTGAAGCTAGGACATCCCAGAACAGGCATTCTACCCCTTTAGAATCTAGCTCACCACTTCCAGGCCCAGGACAGTCCCTCGAAGCGAGCCATATCGCAGAAACCGCAGACCACCAGCATTGGTTGCCACATTGCCCCCGATGTGGCAGCTGCCCTTCGCTCCTAAGTCCAATGGCATGATGAAGTCCCGTTCCTGCACATAGCGGCTCAGCTCCTCCAGCACACAGCCTGCCTGGCAGACCAGAATCCCTACAAAGAACAACGAAGTTACCAAAACTTCTTTGTAGGTAAGAACCTCCCAGAAGCAATGTTCTCCTCAGAGGCCATCTCTTCCTTCTATACAAAACAAAAACAATTGGTCCTTTTGTAATTACACTATAAAACAAGAAAAATTAGAAAGGCAAAAATAGAGAAGAAAAGATTCTTGTCTAACTAAGAGGAGAGATTAGAAGAAAGAACTGCTACAAAGCAGTGACCTCAGCTTGGGGAAGCACTGGACCCTCCCCATAGTTAAAATGTTTATACTTTCTGGTACTGAAACTGTTGCTAACAACTGCAAACAGCAGGCCCCTACATGGCAATCCAGCCTCAGTACAGGAGAGAAGCTATTAAATCCCTTCACAAGAATCACTGCATGGCCATCCACGTCCACAAAGAGTTGCCATGGCAAAGACTAGATGTAAATGGGGCTTGTGTGACATGCCCGAAGCGCACAGAGGATGACCCCGACACACCTGCCAGTTCTGTCCCAGCCAGGACAGAGCACACATATGCGCACACATCTCTAGCTTAAGCAAAGACGCAGTGGCTAACAAGGAAAGACAACCTCAGCTGGCAGTAGGAAGGCAAGAAGAGTTCGGAACGCACACACACATAAGCTTACCAGATATGTCATGAAAGCTGATGACTTGATTCATGAGGGCAGTGGACAGGATGACTTCGTCAAAGACGGGAACACTGCCCCCCACCATGCCAGTGTTCCCACCCTGTGGGTTCACAGCCAAGTTCCTCTTATAGCAATACCTGGGACAAACATAGTGTACATATCAAGCCAGCACCCCTATGCCCATAATGACTATCCCCAAAGGACATGCTACTGAGCCAATCTCCTTTCTAGACCTTTCTGCTGGACAAGGGCTCTCCCCTAACACCCTGTGAAGAAGTCTAGAGGAGCGTTCACCCCAAAGCTGTACATAGAGAAAGGGTGGCTGGCACTGTCTCAGGGCATGGGGAAGTGGTATATGTGGCTTAATTCTAATACCTTCAGTGTTTGTAAGAGTCGGTGTACCATCTGTACCTCCGCCGTTCTCACTCCCTCTAGTGCCACAGCTGTACGCTGAGTTCTGAGCCCAACCCACCAGCCCTTTGGCTACAGCCAGTATTCTTGCAGATAGGGATCTGGAGAAAGGTGTGCCCTTGCCCGTGAGCACCCAGTGAACCCATGGGGCAGCAAACTACAGGGATCTTCTAATGGGTAAGTATGAATGTGGCCCACAGTGTTGTAAAGCACTGTTGAACTGCAGACATCTCCTCTTACCTAAGAATCTGGGACACTTCCTCTGAGGTCTGGGGCCTCAGCAACACCTTACTACAGCCTGTGACAAGAGAACACACCTGTCACCCCACATGCAGAGAAGTGGCTCAAAAATAAGAATACTTCCTTGCCCCATTCCTGCCCTCCACTACAGCTTATCTGAGAGAATGTCCTCTGTGGCATTTGCTCTTCCTCAGTGAGGCAACCAATACAGCCACCAGACCCCCAGACACTCAAGTACAAGAGTAAGATGTCTGAGGGTCCTGGGCCTTGCTAGGGAATAGGCAACAGCTGGAACAGTGTACAGCAACTGCTAGAGCCAATGGCCCTTCCCCATCTGCTCTTGTGGGAGGGAAGGTGGGTTTTAGCATCAATGTACAACGAGGTTTGTTGGGCTTCTCTGCACACCTGAGAAATTCTTGAGACTTGGAAACATCCTGGTGTTCCTCAAACTACCTGCTGATTTTAACAGACTCTCCATTAGTACAATGGCTAAAAATAAAATAGTGACTTACAGATCTGTCCATCTACCTGTACCTTAGTTCCAGTAGAGAGAGGGATTTGCCTTCCTACAGCTCTCTGTCCACACCAGAGCCGGTTTATACCTTCTCTTCACTCACTCTTCCCTACCCTTGGCTGATGCCAAGTTAGCATAGCAACTAGGAGCTGAAGCAGCTCCGTCACCCTAAGACTCAAGCTCTATGCATCTCCTGTCTTACTCTGTGATTCTGAAAGACATACTGCTTCTCATCAGAGGAACAGCCTTTGCTGAACTGGCTGTCCTAACCCAGGGATCCTGGTCACCTGGAATTTGTGTGGGCAGTGTTCAAGGTGTTCAGCTATCCTGTATGAATAAGCTCAGTGCTCTGAACACCGCTGGTGAAGCTAAGCAAGAGATGAAGTCTGCAGTGGGTTTTCCAACAGACACTCAAGTTGCCCAGCAAAGACCTGTGCATAGCAACATAAAAGAAAGATTCTACTCTTGTGATATACGTAGATCCTTCTAACTAGAAACCAATAAAATGAAGGGATAATAGCTAATGAGCTCAACAAAGAACAAAGAACAAGAGGCTGGAAATCGCTAAGACAGTACAAGGAAATGCCCAGACCAAGAGGAGAGTCTAGCTGGAAAGGCTCCAACCAAGCCAGGAAAAAGGCAGGTCCCAAATAGTTCCAGGCAGAAAGACTGCCTACAGGGTCACACCCGCCCTCCCCATGCTTTCAGGAAGTCACAGCAGGTACTCCCTCACATCCTGGGCTCTTTGCAGTTGGTGAAAACATAAAAGGACTCCTCACTCACACTTCAACAAACTGTAGTCCAACCAACCTGAATGCCCTCCTTTGCCCCAGGGCCTTTCGACAGTCACACTCCTGAGCCTCTCACCTGCTTCTTGTCCTCCAAACTTTTCTTGCTTGCAGCCTTTGCAATATGCTGGCACTATGCCTGGTCTTAAGAGTGTTTAGGTGTCCTCTTTGCCCCATGCTCTTCCAGGCACCTCTCCCTGATAATCCACCTGCCCTGGCTAGATTTATGTCAACTTGACACAAGCTAGAGTCATCTGAAAGGACAGAGCCTCAACTGAGCAAATGCCGCCAGGAGATCCAGCTGTAAGGCATTTTCTTCATTAGTGATCAGTAGGGGAGAGCCCAACCCATTGTGGGTGGTGCTATCCCTGAGTTCCTGAGCGGCTGGTCCTGGATTCTATAAGCAAGCAAGCTGAGCAAGCCATGGAGGAGCAAGCCGGTAAACAGCATTCCTCCATGGCTTCTGCATCAGCTCCTGCCGCCAGGTTCCTGCTCTGCGTGAGCTCCTCTCCTGACTTCCTTCAATGATGAACAGTGCCATGGAAGTGTAAGCCGAATAAACTGTTTCCTCTTTAAGTTTCTTTGGTCACGGTGTCTCATTACAGCAATAGTAATACTAATTAAGACACCACCAAAGGACCATTCCATCTTATCCATCTCAAGCCTGGCTGCCCAGTGCCCCTATTGACTCATCTGGACTTCAGTATCCACTCATATGGGAACAAATCTCAGTTGCTGCCTATTTTTATAAATAGGAAACACACAAATCCACACACTCTCTCTCTCTCACACACACATAAAATTAGTTGTTTTGTTTTTTAAAGATCTCAAGTTAGGATCATTCTGGACTAAGTGGACAAGAGTTTCTCTAACACAGAAGAGGAGGCCTAGGTAGATGGCTCAATGATTAAGAGCACCTGCTGCCTTGCTGCCTTTGCAAAAATTCCAGTTCAGTTCCCAGCATCCATATCAGGTAGCTTACAAATACCTGTAACTTTAACTCCAGGAGGTCCAATACCCTCTTCTGGCTTCCAAAGGCAATTGTGCTCTCGCTCTCACTCTCTCACACACATACACAAACACACAAATAAAAAAAAATTTTTTTTTTTTTTTTAAGAGAGAAGAGGACAAAGGATTGAGGCAGGATAAAGACAGAAGCAAAAGCTGGGGGATGCTACCAGAAACAGCTGGGGTCACCAGAAGTTCAATGTCAGGAAGAACCCTCTCCTACAGGCTGCAGAGAACACTTCTGATTTGGAACTCTAGGCTTCCAGAACTGAGAGGGTATCTTTGGTGAAGGCTGCCTGAGGAGAAGCTGAGCAGATGCAGGCAGCAGTGTTCACAGTCCACACTTCAGCCAAGGCCTGCTTCACATTTTTAACTGAAGACCTTGGTTGTGTCTTCAAAGACAAATGAGGCATATTGTCAATGAACTCTACTTCCCTCACCTACACTGTCTTCTGGTTTCTAGACTTTGACCTTACTCCTCTGCCCAGGTCCTGACTCACCCCGGACGGTCCTCAGCCAGTCCACATTGCATGCCTGCAGTTGCTCTGGATCTGTGATAACTCTGCCAGGTATGATGCATTCAAACGCAGCCAGGTCCTCCTCAGACACAGTAGAAAATGGCAGCCGTTGCACAGGGTATCGCTCAGAGGTCAACATCACCTCAGAGCTGCCAGAGACCAAAGAGTACCCTCTGCAAGCCAAAGGGCCATTTATACCCAGAGAGTGACCCAGCCACTTTAACCCGAATGAAGCTCCCTGAGCATAGGTCCTCCTCCATCCTGGAGATGCCCAGAAGAACCTTGCAGACCACCTGGGCACCAAATGGAGCACCATGGCTCCTGACCTTAAAGAGAGAGAGATTTAATTTGTGACCTGCAAACAACGAAGCAGTGATAAAGCCCCAAAATAGACCTCTACACCACATCTGAAGTCACCTACACAGCCTAGAGCAGGGGTTCTCAACCTGTGGGTCATGACTCCAGAGGGTCACATACCAGATTTTTACATTATGATTCATAATAGTAGCAAAATTGCAGTTATGAAGCAGCGCCAAAAAAAGTTTATGGTTGGGGGTCACCACAACATGAGGAACTGTATTAAAGAGTAGCAGCATTAGGAAGTTGAGAGCCACTGGCCTCCTTAAAGGAACAGGGTGGCTCGGCACTAGAAAGACTGCAGGGCTCAGAGTAGACACTTAGTAGTTTGGTTCTTAGTATTCTGCCCTGCAGTATCACATCCTGAAACTCCACTGAGTGGGTACATTCTCTCCTGGGCGTTATATTTTAACTTTTGCAAAAAACAACCGCTTTTCCAGGCCCTTCCCCCTCAAAACAAAACTAGGTTAAGGCACGAAAAAGGAAGGAATCACTGAATTAGGCACACACAGTTGAAAGGCAAATTTTACATTTTACGTATACTTTGCCACAAGTTTTAAAAGGCTTCGGTAATCAAAAAGCGTATGAAACGGTATGGAAGTGAACTGTGACAGTGCCTACTGACCCGGCGAAGACGGCTCACACAGGTAGCTATCCGGAAGAGGCCACCTCTCCACCTGAAGGCGCTGCCTTACCTGACATGGAAAAACACACCGCAGCATGCGCAAAAGAGCGCATGCGCCATGTGCTGTGACGTCTGGGAGGACCTGCTATAGGCATGCCCAGCCAACACAGCTTAGGGCTGTGGGAGGTGAAAAGCATTGCTAATAGGCTGGCACCAACGGCAATCCCGGCTCCCTCCTGACCTACGCAATCACTTGCCAGGCCACAGCCCCAGCTGCCTAGACCCGGAGACCAGCCCCCTCCACCCTGGAACCGCAGCCACTACGCACCCTAGCATCAGTCCGATTACAAGAATGCGGAAAAACTTGTCTGCCTTCCCACCCTTGCACCACCGTAGGCCTCGACCAGACGGGTGGGATGAAAGACTGCGCATGTCAGCCCTCCCTCCGTGACCCCGCCCTTCCTCCCTGACCCCGCTCTTCCTCCTAAAATCCTACCGGGTTCTGGCTCCGTCCTACCCATTCCTTTGACTGTGGATTCGTGCTGACCCGACCTGAGTCTACCAGGTCTCAAAGTGAAAACTGTCTGCTTTAACCAGAATCCGACTCCACGCAGCAGATATCCCAGAACTCCCGATTCCGAGCGCTTTTCCCAACTGGCCCCATCGTCATCTACCCGACTAGCCCGAAAAGCTAAGTGGCTTCTCCTTCATTTCACTGTGGCTCCTTCCTTAGGGGACACAGAAACCCTCTCTTCCCCAGGGGTTTCTGTCTCCCTAGGGATCTCTATCGACCCTATGGCTCTCTCCCCTCCCTTCTTCTATCTCCTCTGGGGCTTCTGTCTCACCTGGGGTCACTGGTCCATCCGCAGACACTACTCCAAAAGCTCAACCTCAAAGTAACAATACTTCTAAGGCCTGGGACTTCACTGTGGGGACCCCAGAGGTCAGCCCAGCTCTTCAGAGCATTTCTGACGTCCTGGGTCCAGCCCCTGCCTCCCCCTCCCCGGGCAGTTCCATCTCAGCTCCGCAGCTCCACCGCACACAGAGCGACAGTGTAGCAGCAGTTTCCTAAGAACAAGAGTCTGGGTAATCACTATCTTTCTCCCTTGCTTCTTCCAGCCCTAGGTAACAGGTAGTTGCTGTTTCTTGAAATTATTCTATTACTTCAGCATCCCCCTTCCCAGCCTTCCACACACCTATAAATAACCTTAGTAGTTTCCATTTTGCTGGCTGGACAGTACCTAGCATCTGAAACAGGGTTCGTCTCCCAGTGTCTTGGGGCAGCTCCAGGAACTGTTACTTCTTCCAGCTTACCCACTTCCGTTTGCCAACTCAGAGCACACTTGGAAATACATTCTATAAGATGTTAAGACAATTTAGAGTTCCATACCAGATACTTTAGATCTCTGTACCAGGAAGATCAGGAGGTTCCTGAGGCAGAAAAGAGGTGTAGTGTTGCTTTGCCAACTAAAAGGCAAGGCATCCTGGTAGTCCTTGCAAACTGGATAAAAGAACACGCGAATATGCCTGGAGGTGATGGTGTACGCCTTTTTTTTTTTTTTTTTTTAAGATTTATTTATTTATTATGTATAGAGTGTTCTGCCTGCACACCAGAAGAGGGCACCAGGTCTTATTATAGATAGCTGTGAGCCATGTGGTTGCTGGGAATTGAACTCAGGACCTTTGGAAGAACAGCCAGCATGCTTAACCTCTGAGCCATCTCTCTAGCCCCAGTGTATGTTTTTAATCACAGCACTCCAGAGGCAAAGAATGGTGGATCTCTGTTAGCGTTACTTTTTAAAAATTATTTTATTTACCCTTCTTATGCCTTTTTTTCCCTTCTCCATTCCAATCCTTTCCAACACTAGGTAAGAGAGAAAGAAGGTTAGAGGGGAGATAGGGTGGAGTTCTTTTTGCTACTTCCCGCTGGTTAGGGCCCTTGGGGCAAGTCCAATCATTGTTTCTGGATATCTTTCAAGCTCTTGTCAAACTGCAACAGCAACCAGGAGAAGCAGTGGGGAAGAAGCAGCAGCCTTTTTTCTTTCTCAGACTCCCCACCCCTACCCCTCTGGGCTATGGCATTTATTCTCTCTCCAGAGTCCTCAGAATTAAACTATCTGCAGCGGGCAAGGAGCCCTTCTCAGAGCCTGCAGGAGGCAAATAGTTTGCTGCTGTGGATAATCTGAATTGGCCCCATATCCCATACCTAGGATTAAAACAAAAACATGTTTACATAACATAATTGGGTTTTTAAAGACACCAATACTTTCCACTACAGATCTCCATGAGTTCGAGACCAGCCTGGTCTACAGCAAGTTCCAGGACAGACAGAGAAACACTGTCTCCAAGAACCAAAAAGGAATATAGTATTTGGGGGTCGACAGCTATGTGCTACATGCTGTGTTCTGGGAGGGGTGGATGCAGCTACAGTTGTGCCTTCAGTAGAGCAATTCCCTAGGGTCTGCCCACCCTCCCAGGTTTATCAGACGGAGGCATTGTGGACATGGTTAGTGCATTGCCCTGGCATTGTTCAGGTCCAAGACACAACTGCATTTGGATTCCTACTCTGGCTGGAAAGACATTCCAAGGCTTCCACTAGGTCATTCCTAAGTTGGTCCTCAATCCATAAATTACTAAGGATATTTACAAGTTATCAAGAATGTCAATGTGCTGAGATAGTTCTATCTCAACTTACCACAAGCTAGAGTTATCTGAAAGGAGGGAGCCTCAGTTGGGAAAATGCCTCCATAAGATCCCCCTATAAGGCATTTTCTTAATTAGTAATAGATGGGGGAAGACCCAGCCTATTGTAGGTGGTTCCATTCCTTGGCTGGTGGTCCTAGGTTTTATAAGAAAGCAGGCTGAAGCAAGCCAGTAAGCAGCACCCCTCCATGGCCTCTGCATCAGCTCCTGCCTACAGGTTCCTGCCCTGTGTGTTTCTGCCCTACCTGCTTTTGAGGATCAACTGTCACATGGAACTGTGAGTGAAATAAACCTTTTCCTCTCCAAGGTGTTTCCTGACGGTGGTAGTAACCCTAAGACAGTTACAGGTTCAGGAAAGTTGCCCAGATGTTATTTGGTTCTTTTAAAGGCCTGTGCTACCACATCCAGCATGTTTGATTCCTTTATACAAACTCGTCCATCACCTGATCACCACAGTCCTCATTAACTAGGAGGCCAATGGCATCTGGACCCTTGGAATTAGTAACAATTCAGAGCCAGTCAAGACCAGCAGTTAGTCACTATCCACCACCCAAAGAACCAGCCTTTTCTTAACCCTAACCGTCACCCCAGGAAGTAACTGCTGATACCCTGAAGTATACATGGAGATTCAGGGTAAACATACTGCCACAGGCAGGGCCCTTCCTCCAAGACCACAGCCTCTGACAAAATGTTTCCCGTGACAAGTGAAAAGTTGAGCCTCATGCTGACCAGTGTCTGGAAATTCGGCACTGTCCAAGGAAACATCTAAGACAACTCAGTAAAGTCTATGCTCAGACTCATATGTGCAAGCCCTAACCCCTAACATGACTGCTTGGGAGCAGGGCCTACATGTGTGTAATTAAGGCTAAGCAGGGACTTACAGTTTGGACCTCCAGGATCTGATATAAAAAAACACTAGGAACTGGGGATGTAGCTCAGTTGGTAGAGTACTTGCCTAGCATGCTCTGTAAGTCCTGTATTTCACTATGTAGTCCAGACTGGCCTGGAACTAGCTATATAGACCAGGTTACCTCAAGGTCACAGAGATCAGCCTGTAACCCCAGCACTTGGGAGGTAGAGGCAGGTGGATCTCTGTGAGTTTGAGGCCAGCCTGGTCTACAGAGAGTTCCAGGGTAGCCAGAGCTACATAGTGAGACCATGTCTCCAAAACAAGCAAACAAAAAACAAAATAAATGAAATAGAATTCCCTCCCTCCCTAGCCCCACACTCAGCTTGTCACGAGTGCAGTGAAGAAGTCAGCTGCCTACAACCCAAGGGCAAAGGCCTTAACAGATACCAACCTTCCTGGCATCTTGATTTCAAACCTTCAGAACTGTGAAAAACAAATTTTGTTAAGCACCCAGTTTGAGGCCTTTTTGTGTATGTGTATGGGACCTGCCCAAGAAGACTGTGACCTTCCCAAAGGGATGCTGACATTTTCAAGAATCCCCAGGTCTAGGTTCCCATGCCAGGGGAGGTGCAGTACTGCTTTCCCTCATATTGCTGGGGATGGAACCGAGGGCCTTATGTGTCCTACTACTAACATATTCCCAGCCCCTCTCATGCACACACCTTCATGGGAGCCTGGAAACCACACACTGACCTCCCTGCGTATCCAACCAAAGCCAAGTTCAGGGTCTTAGGTCCCTAATGTCCCTCAGTGGTGCCCTCAACTCTGGGTAAATGAACATGAGACACACCTCTGACACAGCATCCCTACACTACATGCCTGCTTTCAAAATGATCTATTTTCAAATGTTTCTTCCCAAAAAATACTTTATTTATTAAAACAATATATCCATAATCCATGATCCAAAAATACAGATATACATCTTTACATTATTTAATAAAAAGATTTACAATAGTATCTCTCCTTTACAAAGGAGACATGGGTAATAATTCCTTGAAAATAAAATGTGACATTCATGTTAAAGCTGCATCATCCTGATGGATGGAGTGTGGTGAAGAGCAAACACCACAGCACATTCTGAGGGAAAAGACATTCTCAGCTCTCCCTTGCTTTAAAGCTCCTCTCAGCATAAGCAGTGAAGACCAACCTGTTTGTGGAGAACAGGGTTGCAAAGCCTGAAAGAAATGTCCCTCACTGTTCGATTTCAAATCCTGAAGACCTAACCTCCTGGTCTCATAACCAAGCCAACCTTGGTCCCATGACCACATGGAGGAGTTGCTCTCTGGACAGTGTTATTGCTTGAAGCATCCCTGCCAAGGCCTTCTGGGGACAGGTGAGGGAGAGAAGGCAAGATGCTGTATACACAAGAGCACGCAGGCGGCCACTTCCCCAGCCATCCACAAGCCCTCACAACTCATGGCTCTTCACCACAGAGTGGAAGACACAGCTGATGGCCTGACTCCTACTGACCTCACCTGCTGGACAGATGAATGCTTGGACCATCATACCACTGGCATGTTCACAGATCTGGGGGCTCAGGGTTTTTTTGTTTGTTTGTTTGTTTTCATTAATTCATCATGCTTCTTCTAATATGAAACTGGAGAAATTCAAACTACTGATAATGTGCACAGAAAACAAGGTGATTCCTCTCAGCAAAACACTCATGTACTTAAAAGAAGGGGGATTACACAGGGAGGGCCCAGCCTTGGCTCTGGCAAAGCTGCTGCCATAGTGACCTGTCAGGGTCACCCTACCCATTCTAAGAAGCAGGGATGGCTCAAGAGCCAGGTCTCAATGAGCAGGCACCAAAGAGCATCTGGTCTGACAACAGAGACAGCTAGGGTTTCTCATACGGTGCTCAGTGGCACAACAACATGCCTTCTGTGTTTCCGCAGCGCCCAAGGCAGAGCTGGTACTAGGATACTTTTCCTTGAACTTCCTCTTTGCTCACAGATAGCAACAATGGGAATGACCCTAAGGATTTTCCCTCTGCTTTCTGTTTTGTTGCCAGGGATCAAACCTAGACCATCACCTTTGGAACGCAGCTTTGCTCACCACCATAAAACCAATGCCACACTGAGCTTCGTACTTGGTAGACAAGCATTCCATCACTGAGTTTAACCCCCAAGGCCATGATTCTGTTTTTTTCTTTTTTTCTCCCCAAGCTATATGTATCTTATTTTGGTGACATTATTATAACTGTTAAAAAAACAAATAAATAAAAAGTCAGAAGCCAATATGGCCCCAGACACTCAGAGAAAAGCTAACATGACGTCAGGAAGCCAGAAGATGGAGCTAATCCAGCCTCTAACACCTCTACCAGTAAAACATCATTTCTTCCCAAAGGTCTCAGCTGCCTCAGGCTGAATCTCAGGTATTAACCCAGCTTCTAAGGCATTATCAAGCAAGATCTGATTAAAAATTTGTGCTTCCAGAAACTGTAAGACAGGTCCAGGCAAGATGGCACACACCTGTAATCCCAACATTTCATGGCTAAAGCAGGATGATTGCAAGTCCAAAGCCAGTCTGGGCTACATAATAAAGCACTGCCTCCAAATAAATAAATAATTTAAAATTTAAAATTAAAAAGATGCATGGGGCCTGACCCTTAGCACTGAAGAAAGAAAAACAAGAAAGATAAAAGAATAAAGAAAAAACTGAGGATGTAACTCAATTTGTAGAATGCTTGCCTAGCATCCATGGAGTTCTGGATTGGAGATGAGTGGTGGTGGTGCATGCCTTTAATCCCAGCATTGAGGAGGCAGAGGCAGGAGGATCTCTGACTTTGAGGCGAGGGAGTTCCAGAACAGCCAGGGCTACATAAAGAAACCCTGTCTCGAAAAACCAAAATAAAAAAAAGTTCTGGGTTTGGTCCCTAACACTGCAAAACCAGATCTGTTGTTGTACACCTGTAACTTCAGCATTTAGAGGTGAAGGAAGAAAGACCAAAAGATCAAAGTTATTCTCAGCTACACTGTGAGTTCAAAGACAGCCTAGGATACATGAGACCCTGTCTTTAAAAATAAAAAAAGAAAAAGAAAAAAAATCCTTATAATTTACCCTCACAACCTTTAGTACAACAAAAAGCTGTTATGTCTATCTAATCTGAGCCTGAGGGGTCCCCAGGGAGAATGCCAGGCCCCTCGAGCCCACAGGTCACAGGAACCAACATTTCCAAAGCTCTTCCTAGCCTGGAGACAAGCTCGGGCAGTTGCCTATCAGCTACAACTACCTGCCTGACACCTACTGTCCAGGAAGAGTCAATGTGGACTAACGTATTCAGTAGCACAAACACAAGCCACTCCCCCATCTCCCTCTATCACTGGGACAGGCTATGCCCAGCAGGAACATGACCATGATGCCATGGTGTGGGGCAGATACAAATCCCTTCTGCTTTCTTTTCTTTCCTTGGTATAAAGTGGGAAGGAAATCTATATATTTAACCATGGCCATCATAAGAAAACAAGGTGCCTATTGTCACATTAAAAAAAAAAAATGGCTCTCCTTAAATTGGAAATTGCATAACCCAGCTCTGTCTTGTGGGTCTTTTTCTGGGATATGACCACAAACAGACTCTCTTAGTTCTCAGAGAGCCTGAGTCCCTGGAGAACATGCCAGAGAAATTCTAAGTCAAAGGACACTCTCAGGGTCTTGTTACACTTAAGAAGCCATCACAGATGCATCTCAACAGGCCCTGTGCATACACCCCCCACAACTATTTCCAAAAGACAGTTCAACACTGGTTTCGTGGAGAGTGGTTAAACAGAGTACACTATAATTTCCTACCTTCATTCCAGAACTGCTACTGGGCACACAAATTCACAAATCATGTCACATAATTGTAGTCCCCTTGAATGTAAGCTGTGGTCTAGTGGGATGCAACACAGCAGAGTTCTAAAATCAGCTCACAGTAGACAGACTCACTTCATAGACACACAGACCCATGACCTTCATGCTATTACAATAAGTTCATCTTCACAGTAAAAAAGTCAGGAATTCCCAGAGAGGTGGAAGCTCAGCCTGGCTGTTTGTCCGCTGTTGGGCAGTGCTGGTTGTGATAACTGACAGTCCGAGGCTAACGGAAGCCGGATCTCCAGGGAAGGCTGGAAGCTCACACTGAAAAGGTGGCACATAATGCAACAGAGGGCATTTCCACCTGGGAAAAGATTCCCCCAGTCACTTCCAGACACATCAGAGGTATCTTGGCCAAGAATCCCTGGTATCCAGTCAGGGTCAGAGCACACAGCAAGGGGCGGTGCCTGATAATACTTTGCTCACAGAGCAACAGCTGTGCCTCCATGATGCCATTAGACAAGTCCTGGAAAACATGGGCACTCAAGGCTGACCCTCTAGTCACAAAGCAGTGGCAGTATACCATGTTAAAATGTGTCCACCCTGCACCATGCACTTTGCCTACAGCCCACACTGACACACAACCACCAGTGGCCTGGCCATTCCCAGTACTGGGAGGTTGCGGGATGGGGGAGCCTGCTTGTAACATCACCTTGGCAAGTCCCTGTGAGATAGATTGTTCTGTGCAAATGGTGCAGTGGCTTCTTGTTTTGGGAAATAGCCAAAATTACAACTGGCCACTGAATTATTAAATATCAGTCGAAATAAGGTAGTTTTAAAATGAAAGATAATATTGCAACATGAGTGAAGAAATATATTAGCTTGCTCTTCAGTCTGGCACAACGGCCTCTTCTTTACTTCTTCTTCCTCTTTTCCTGAACACATCGTGGACAGAACCTGTGACAAGAAAGGCACCAGGATCAAGCCTCTGCATTGGTTCTCCTGGCACACAGGACACCCAAGTATCTTTCCTGAATATCACAGGGTAGCTGGACTCTGATAAGATAGTGCCAGAGGAGAGCTACAGTTTTTCCTTTGGGAAAAGCTGGCATTTGAACTGCAGGTTCACACGTATCTCGAGTTGACTTGAGATAGATACATATAAGCACAGCCATGGGGTCAAGTTGATAAGACTGGTCATGAGGTGTCCACTACAGAGGTGACCCCACTAGCTGGTTGGCAGATTAGACATGCTGAAGACCGTATGTGTAGACATGAGCCTGATACGCCAGCGGCTAACAGTTTCTGACACAGCTGCACTGGACCCTGAAGCCTGTATGGGTCACACAGGTTCCAGTGTTGTGGGTCAAGCATACATCCAATCCTTGAGTGTTCATGGACACTCAAGAACAGAGTAGCCAACTCATGATCCAACAGGACATTCCAGTAAGTCTCCCAATGTGGGAGACAGTTCTTACATGTTACAGATAACATCACTTCCCTCTGTACTACGAAGCTCTGAGCATCTAGGCCTGTACTATAATGACCTTGTCAGTCACAAGTTGTCTCTCTGAGGAAGCCCATCCTGGTAATCTACAGAAAGACCACATTGGAGCCTCATTCCCTAGTTCTTCTGTCTGGCTTTGGGCCCAACACATTGGGCAGCTGCCAAGCCTACACTCTCAGAGGGAGCACCCCAACAGCTTTGCCAGTGCAGTCAGACTCCTTCAACCTGGAAATCCTACAAACTCACCGCATTTAACTTGAACTCAAAGTTGCCTGCTCTTTTCCCTTTCCTTAGCTGAGTAACCACCATCCATTAGAGCCCAGCCACATATCTGCTCTCTCACACCCACTGCCCCCAACGCCCAGCCCACTTCCATAAGGCAAAGGCATAGCCAAAGGACCTGCCATATGGTTCTTGTAGCATGAAGTATAGAGCCATGCAGAATGTCTGCCCAACAAGGTGGGATTACATTCACACCACACACTTCACCAGCATCCACTTTCCTTTCCCAGCTGACTCTCAAACTGGCCACAGGCTGATCTATACCCCGAGAATGTTACCATGAGCTGCTTCAAGTATTCCTCTGAGAAGGGCCCATATATATTTTAATGAATATGCATCCATTTTTAAAGTGAACAAAGCCAGGTTTTTATTCAAATAAAACCTTGGGGGCCAGGTGCAGTAATCCCAGCACTCAGGGAGGCAGAGGCAGGCAGATCTCTGTGAGTTTGAGGCTAGCCTAGTCTAGAAAGTGAGACAGCCAGGACTACAGAAAGAAACCCTGTCTCGAAAAACAAAAACAAAAGTCCTGGAAGCATCTTGAACAGTGGCCTACTGCTGACCAGAGCTAGGATGGGAACAAGAATGCACAAGTTTGCTGTGCTGTTAGACAGACACCCCTGGGAGAGAGCACAGCTCCTCCTTTACAATTCCCATTTCCCCTAGAGACAAGAACCTTTTCTCCTGGGTTTCATTTGAAATAATGTCTATCCAACCTGGAACCACAGTTCTGTAGTAGAGCACTGGTCTGGCACAGTAGGATAGAGGTAGTGAGCCCAAATAGCTCTTCTTCAAAGAGCACTGATATAGACACTATGTCAGCCCAGGTGAGCTGAGCAGATCCCCCTCTGTGAGCTTAACATCACCACTGCCCCTCCCCAGCCAGGACCAATGCTGCAGAAATATGGAGACCCAGAGCACCAGGCGGGCTTGCCCAAGGGGGCGGTCACCCCATACTAACCACTTTCCTTTGGGCTTTGTGGTGAGATCCACGCAGGCAAAATGAAACCACTCAATTGGACACTGCAAAGCAAGGGGAAAGCCTGTGTCACACCCATGCACTCTGTATATTAAACACAGAAAGGCCAAAACCCACCCATATTTGTCCCAGGTTACTTGTACCCTTTAAGATCCACTCACATCTGGATTGTCACAGCCAATCATCTCCCCGTAGGACACCTGGTGGCACAGGCAGTACGTAGGTTCATTCGGATCCACAGGCATGTCCAGCACATCAGACGGATGCACAGATAGGATACTGTCCGTAAACTCAGACCTAAAGGGAGAGGAAGGATCTGATAACCACAGGGCAAAAGGAGGAAGGCAGAGGACACACAAGGCCAGATTGCAGCCCTTCTACCAATAGCCCAAGGCTCCTCTACCCTGGAACCAAAGATGCGTGCAGGTTCTAAGAAAAGAATCTACAATGACTGCACTAATGATCATCCATAAACTTGCCTCCAATTTTCTTGGAACCTGGGAACATTCCTAATGTCACTGAGGTACATTTTCAAGGATAACCTCAAAACCTTCCAGCCAAATCTCCCCTAAGAACTTACAGTCAGAATAATATGGTTGCTAATTACCAGTTGAAGAGATTCCCTTGGACTAATAGCAGCCACAAACCTAGGGGCAGCAGCAAACAGCAAGTGGCAAGCACACCACCCTCACACCAGCAGAGGCCCCAGAGGCAGGCAGTGGGGACTGAGATTACTAACAGCACTCACTATGCAACTGCCATTGCTGTCTACTGGAGACAGAAAATAGAGCCCTCCAACAGTGCGAGGCTGCTGCTTTCTCTGGGTCTCCTCCTGTGTTGGCTGCTACCTCCTGTTAGGGACAAGAACACGGACCCCGGCCAGCAGACAGCTTACATCTGACAAGAGTCTCTGTCACCCAAGGCTGGCCTAAGGATTGAGACATTGAATAGCTATACTGTAACCAATGGATATCTCCTCCTCCCAGAAGAGAAAGACAATGTATCCTCTGCATCTTTCTAGGTACTTTCACCCCAAACATATACTTACCTGCCTCTCAGTCTTTGAACAGTAGCCTAGCAAGAATGCTACCTCTTCATCTTCCTCCTGTAACTGTTGTCTAAATAGCCCAGCCCCACCCTTCACTGCAGATCTGGACACTGAACTTACTCTTGACATGTATTTCTCAAATAACCATACCAACTGTAGGGCAGTCTAGACAGTATAATCCCTGTACCTGTAACACCAGTGTCTCTACTCACCCCTAAACTAGGAATGTAGTGATAAATAATTATGGTCAGTTCCCATGAGGGTAAATGACACAGCTGCAGACAGGAAACAAGACAGAAGCCTGGGCTCACGGGCTCTGATTTTCTGAATGTTCCCCAGACGTTTAGTTGTTGCATATGTGCGTGGGTGTGCACATCTACAGTCCAGCCCGATACCTTGGGGGCTCTGGAACTGGGGCCTCTCCTTAGCAGGTAACCCATGCTTCCAACACCTGTTTCTTTGAAACAGAAATGTTAGCACACGCCTTTGATCCCAGTACTTGGGGAAGCAGAGGCAGGAGGATTACTATGAGTTCAAGGCCAGTCTGGTCTACAAATCTAGTCCAGGACAGCCAAGGCTACACAGAGAAACCCTGTCTCAAAAAAACAAAACAAACGAAAGAAAAGAAAAAAAGAAAGACGAAAGAAAGAAAGAAAGAAAGAAAGAAAGAAAGAAAGAAAGAAAGAAAGAAAGAA